TTTTTTTTCAGCAATATGAATGTGTTTTATATTTGGAGTTTAATATATTTTGCTATAAATACTGTCTTTGGGAAAATTACCGTTAATAAAGTTATAGTGCGCGTACCAAGGCCAAATGATATCGGTCTTATATTCGGTAAGTTCAGTTAAAAAAAAAACTAAGTCTTAATATTTTATGATTAGCCGTGTATTTCACAAACAATTTACTTACGTCATTTCTGGTGTTCAATAATCGTTTCCTTATGGCATAGATTTAACCGTTATTAACGCACCGTGCAAAGAGCGAGAGGCATTGGAGTTTCGCATACGTTCAGATGGGATGTGTAGCGTAAATGTAACGGAGTGCATAACCATGAAAAATGTAAGAATGTGGCATAATTTTGATTCGGAAATTGATTATAACAAAAAAAAACACAAGATATGACTTATGTACATAAAAAAAATATAACAGGCTGGGCGCGTGGTGGGCGGTAACTTCGGGTTACTTGATGCAGGTGCAGCAGAAGTCGTATCATTGATCTGGCCTACTGTGGTAAGATAAACAACATTACGATAGGGTACTCAAATAAATTCGAAGAGCTCGAAGACGTCAAAGCTTTTACTGTTTTCTATAAAATTTATGGGGCATATTTATAGTCAAAATAAAGTCGACATTAAGGTTACGAATATCTACCAAAAGAGCAGCAACTAACTTTAGAGTCGACTTTATTTCGATTATAAATTCGGCCCATTGTTTCTACCTCGATTTTTTTTTAATTTTTTTTCACGTTCAAAAGTCACTATATAATCGTGTTGGATCCTGTCCCATTATTGTTACCGCTAAAAATATTCGAAACATTGAGGAGCATCAGAAGCATACCATACATTTCGATACACGTTTTACGACGCTAGATCCCGAAGGACATACGCTGCGAAAAAGTGAGTTAAAAAGTAATTACAAAAAATAAAGACTACACAATTGCTTACTTATCACAATTCATACTAAACCGTTTTAGGACCTGACTATAAGGATTGTAAAAATTGGGACAAGGAATATTTGAAAAATTGCACACCTGTCAACTGTGAAGAACGTTACTTTGGACAGCGCAGTTTTTACAATGAGACTACGCAACATTGCGACGAGGTGCCAGCATGTGACAAACCAAATATGATTTATAACTTTTATACCAACGAATGTTTTATACCGGAAAATTTTTTTACTGCTGAAGATTTGAAAAAGATACAAAGTGGTGATTTCGTAGATGAAAGTGCACATGAAGAAGAGATAGCGCAAGCAAAGACACAGGCAAGTATGGAAATATATACATATAAGCGAATAAAATGTATTGCGAAAAAAGTACTATTAATAGTACCAAATAGTTGCATTGGTTACCCTGCTACTAAAATAAATGAACTTCCTACATGCTGATAAGGCATGTATATGTAAAGCACTTTAACACACGCACCGTTCAAGGGCGCCGTGGCTTAGTTGGTTAAAGCGCCTGTCTAGTAAACAGGAGATCGTGAGTTCGAATCTCGCCGGGGCCTGTGCGGTGGTTGTCGCATACAAAGTTTTTTTTTTTTTAAACTATAATTTTTTATTCTGTTTTTTTTCCCCCAGAATGATGGTGAAAAAAAATTTGTTGTGAACATTCCATGCGACGACACCAACCAAAAAACATGCGATAAAAAATATCAGCAACAAAAACAAAATCAGCAACGAAAACAACAACAGCAACACGCTGACTTTAAACGCGCTGTCGATGATTTTGATGAAGAATTTAAAAATTTAATGGAATCAAAATTTTTTGATACAGCTTATGGTGGTGGTGACGGCGCAGAGTCTACACAGTCTATAGTAAAAACAGAGAAAACATACATGCCATACTGGCTGAAAGGCATTTTGGAGGGCCTAGCGGTAGTAAGTTCTCTTGGCGTAAAACGCTCTCTTCGCTAGAGAATAATACGAAATTTTTTATGAAAAAGGTTGGTGCTATCATCTTTTTGCAGGTTCTTGCCACGGTTGCTATTTATGTGCTCATTTGTTTTGTGATCTTTCTGATTGTCACATGGATATCACGTCGCCAATGTAAATGCAATGCGGATACTAGTTGTGTTCTGCGTTCGCCAACGGCATCGGATGGTGGCGATGAGCCATTGATAACACCGTCCAGTTTACTATCGCAGCGCTGATTCATGAGAAAGGCTGGAAATATGTAGAATACAAACATACATCGTTATTTAAAAATTTCAGGATTTTTATGAATTTTCATTATGATTATGAATTTTTGTTAAAATTCTTATGTAAAATAAGTCGCTGAGTTCGAAAATCTACATAATATCTATATATTATGTACATATTTTTATTTTCTGCCATGAATTTACAAATTGCGGTTTCGACCGTTCAAACGAAGTGACATGCATACAAATCACATTTGTGCCTATTAAATTTACTCTCTTATGTTCGAATATTTTTAAGACACTAAAAAACAATTACTGGCTAACAACTTATACATACATATATGTATGCACTAAAAGTGCATTAAAAACAGTTTATGAATTTAAAATTTTAAATATATTTCGCACTATATCAAAAATTATCTAAATACAAGTTTTAAACTTTGTACAAAATTTAGAAAACTTTAAAGTTCTCAATGACAAAAAAAAAAATTCTTTAGATGAGATAGTATTTTGTAAATGAATAAAAAAAATTAATTTGTTTTTAAATATAGCTTATACTATAGAAAAACTATATGCATACATACATACATATGTTTGTAAATTTAATTTTTAAACTTTTTATAGAATTAAAAAAAAAAAATTTTTTTTCCATAAAAATGTCAAATTTTTTAAACAGTTTTTTTAGGAAAATTTCCAGTATTCAGCCAATCTAATTTTTGTATAATAATGCGCAAGTTCAAAGTGGCCGAAAATTCCAGTTGATTTTGAGATTTTTTTATTGATGACGGTCTTGTGCAATTTTTTCAATATAAGGCATGCCTTTTGTATAGGGGAAAATGCTCAACATCAGCAAACACAAATGCATAAATCAGTGTTTTGACGACATCGTTCTGTCAGTATCGTTTGAACGACTATCGTTTCAAAGTTACGTGATTCATGCCCAGAACTTTGAGCTACTTCGAACTTGCATTGTGCTAAAACTAAATTAGGAGTACAACTACATACTGAAAATTTTCCAAAAATTTTTTTTTCAAAAGCTTGAAGATTTAATAAAAATTTGATAAAATTTTTTAAGTTTTGTACAAAGTCTTATTCTTAGATTTTTGTATAATATGAGCTACATACATATATTTATTTTTTTTTTATTAATTAACAAAATTCTATCTCATTAAAAAAAAATTATAGTGGTAAGTTATGCGTGAACGCCAATGTACATACATATGTAAATACATACATACATACATACTTATGTACATACATACATATGTATATGTATATTAAAACCGTAAATTTGTTAAAATTTAATAAGGCTTTTCTAGATTATAAGCCTATAAAGTTGTCACTGAAACTTAAGTTAATTTAGCCGCACTGATGGTTTTGAAGGTCCGTCCAACAACCATGGGGCAGATCGCAAAAGGAACTCTACTTAGCTATGCTGAAAAAGATTTGCAAAAGGCAAGGCCAAATATTTTCTAGGAATACGAAGAAGCTCGGCTCCACGCTCTCACCAGCTCTGTTGCCTAGAGATGGCATAGGTAAAACCAGAGTCTTTGTGAAGAGTTATGCAGCGTCTCCGCCTTCAGGCTGACACCCTGCACTGGTACACAGACGGCTCGAAGACGCCAGAAGGGGAAGTAGGGGATGGAATTTGCGGAGCCAGAACCAGGATCCTTGTTCCTATGAGAAATATGCGAGCACCTTTCAAGTGGAAGTTTACGCCATCTAACCCTAGAGTAACCTAAGGAGAGGGGCACAACAGATCTCCTTGCTAAAGGGTCAAGGTTTTAAAAGAGCTATTGGCACAATAGACAACTAGGTCGGGGAGTACACGTTAATTTAATATTTATCTACATACATACATAAGTATGTTTTTCCATAGTACAATTTTTAGTTACATACGAGTAGTATTGCGATAGCATTTGCTAAAGTTGATTTTTGCACCTGTTCATTTGCTTCAATATTAATTATGGCAGTTTTTGAATTATTTATCCCCTCCCTTTGTTTCGCGCAGTAAATACTTATGGGGCAAATCTGAAAAACAGGACTCTTACAAAAAAAGAAGTTTAATTCTTTAATTTGTGGGCACACCTACTATGTTTGTATTTTGTAATTCATTTTCATCAAGTGCTTCAAATTTCATTTCATGTCATGTGTAAAATTTTAGAACAATAACATCAAAACTGAGGAATTTATCCATAAGTCGAGCCAATCTGACAAAACTGGGTAGCCATTGAATTTAGAAGGCTCCAATCAAGTAAAAGGGCAACTAAAAGAACCTTTGTCGAAAAAAAGTTGATTTGATACCGCGCTCGAAATATTCTCACTATCTACAAGAAAGATCCTCATTAAAACTTGTAAATCAGGGTTTTTACACACTTCTAGTGAACATTTTTTTGCAGCATTTTGATCGAGCCACCCCCTAAATTTGATTCTGGCTACGCCGATGTTGCCTTCAATCAAGATGTTTTTCGAATAAAAATTCAAGATCGCAGAATATTTTATCTATAAAAGTTGGTTTATTCTGAAAGCACACCTCTTACTAAGGTATAAAATTATTCGTAATTGTTTGTAGAATGCACTGCATATATACTTAAAAAGTTTTTAAAATGAGAAGCTTAAAAAATATACGCGGCAAAACGAAAATTTTGAAAATTGTGAAAAGTAGAGTTAAACACTTTTAGTTACTTGCCGGTAAGTTATTATTTAAAGCACACCTAAGTTATCTACTACATATGAAGTGTACACATAATTACTAACTGCACATAAAATCAGTATATGGTGTGCTTCAAAAGTTATGACTTAATTAATTTTTCACCTCTTAAAAATTACATAAAAAATTCATTTGTTTTTAGTATTTTTTTTTTTTTTTCAATTAAAACTTCTATGACTCAAAATTTACGCAAAAAATTGACCAAGGCGCATCTATACAAGCTGGTGTTACTAGAACAGCTGGTTCGATATTTTTGTCCCTACACTAGTTCAGCAGAATATCATCCAAAACGAAATGGCGCAACTTTAGGATGTCAACAAAACGAAATGGCGAAAGTTATCTTCTATTCTCTTTCGTTTTGACATCCTGATGTACCAAAAGGCAATAACAAAACAAATTGTTGCCACCTTATATGGATGCGCCTTGAAATTGACTCAAAATTTTTTTGAGGCTTCAAGTATACGTCTATGAATTATATCCAAAAGCAACCAGCTTGATATACATACATACATATGTAGTTTACAACAATGAAAATAAAGCTAAATAACACAAAGGTTATCTGTTTTTTTTAGATTTGCCCATATGTGTTGGTCACAAATATTCAAAAATACATACCTACATACATAGCACATATGTACATATGTATGTATGTATGTCCGCTTTCATGTGTCCCATCATATTTATGCGCATCATTTGCTTACTTTAAGATAAGAAAAATTAACGAACTGTGCATAAAATTAGCTAATAAATGCGAGCGATCGTTGAACAGAAGGGTTACTCATTTTAATTATAACGTATGTGTATACATATATGATAGGTATGTATGTATGTAAGAATACAGGTTAGTGCGAATTTGTGGTAGTTTATCCATATTTACCATGTAGTAAGTATGTGCGTCCGATCGACGTCATGTAAACCCGGGTCAAATTGCTAAATAGTGCCGATAAAAGATATTAGTAGAACTGAAATTAAAATTATGTCATAAAATATAAATGACAAACTGCAACTCGAATTAAAACATATCGAATTTGCGAAAGGTTTCAAGATAAGGGCAAGTTTCTGTAAGAAAAAACACGGCAACCTAGCGATCGACGTCCAAATGAATTTAAATTAAGGAGCGAACACTTTTTCATCGACTGAAAATAGTGGAAAAAGCGAACCAGAGCCCCCAGTCGATGACAATGAATGTTCGATGTTCCACCGCCTGACTATGACGAGCAATTGAAAGCGATTGAAAAACAACAAAGCTGCTGGAACTGACAGCCTGCCAGATGAGCTATTGAAATACGATGGCGAGGAGTTAATAACGGTGCCACCATCTCACAAGGCAAGATACTCACATAACCCAGCATCTCTTCACATGCGCCTCCAACCCTACGACCCTGACAACAGAAGCGCTCTGGACCGCGGTCATCGACGCCGCCCGCTTTCTCGGCCTCAGGCTTGCGGAGTCGGAGGATAAAGACACGATGATTCATGACAGAACCTGGGGGGGTTGAGCACTGCTGCTACAACAATAACATCAACCACAATTCCACCATTCTTGAAGTGTACAGCAACCTCTTCGGCCTAATAATTTTTTAAAATTTTTTTAGTTGCTTTCATTATTATGAAATTTTTTTTTTTTCCAATTATTAAACTTTTGCTTTGCTTCTTTGTTTTGGTTCACTCTTTCGTTTTCGTTTAACAGCTAATTTCGATAAATATCCGATAAAAATTAGGGAAGACCACGATTTCTTCGTAATTCGCAAGATATTTCAGACTTAATTACTTACAAATGATGTAATTCGCCCTCAAAATTTTGTATGGCGAATTACCAAATGTAAGTTATTTTGCAAATCAAATCAATCAAATCAATGTATTTAAGAATTTTTAGCAATTTGCATGAAAAGCCAAACATTTTTTATTTTAAAATTTAATTTTTACCTAAAAAACTAACAGTATTAGTTAAAAATATCCATCAAAAGACTGAGTAAATAGAAAAACTTATGTAATTTAAGTTTTTTTGAAACATTTATGTGATGAAATAGTTTTATTTTTTATTTTTTTTGTTGCGTAATACCTACTCGAATCACAAATTAGTTTTTTTAAGGGAAAAACCACTCAGTCCGTGTAATGAAAGACCCGATTTTCATGAAAAAATAAAAATTAATTGATTTAAAAGTAAAATTTTTACTAGAAACCCAAACAATATTAGTTAAGAATACACGCAAAAAGACTATCTAATTCAGAAAGACTTATGTAATTTCGAAGGTACCGATAATAATACGCCGTAACACTATGAAAAATGAAAAAAAAGTATACTTTGGTAACACCAGCAGCTCCGTCAGTATT